GAGAACGCGAAGGCGTTGGATATGCGATGATGGCTTGGGCATCCTTCAGTTGGTGATCCTATGCAATCAAGGGTTTGTATTTGTGGAATTGAGTGATACCCTGGCGTTGTAGTTAATACACTGCGTTCTATTCAAGAAAAGCAGAAGAGCTGATCAGGTAGTCTTTACAAGGAACGAGCGTGCTGTGCCTTGTCTTGAGTAGCCTGTAATAGTATGTGATGGTGGGCGTCATGTCTGAGATCCAGGAACAAGGCCAAAGCGTTGCAGGCTGCAGGCACTACCGAAGATGGAACCGTAAAGGCATCCTTCGAAACTCCCCGTCCTTTATTCCCATCGCGTCAATGATACGAGAATAACAGGGTTTTCATCAGCTCACGCCAAGCACTGGCATGTTCTCCGTCTCCGTCGCGACGACCGATGATGAATTCAGCATCAGGGCGAGCTGCATTCATTACACAACGCACTCATTTGCGTATCCATATGAAACAAAGAATTGCAAACGACCTAAACAAACACACTCTTTGATCAAGCCGCTCGGACATCTCTTAAGCATAACGGAAATTCCCACCTTAAAATCACAGGCAAGATTAAGATAGGTTGGGCGCTCGGCAGGTCGGCATTTAGACAAGCCACTAGCGGCTCTTGGTCTTCAGCTCTCCAGGCCCTGTAGCTACAGGGAGCTTGCCGCTGATCGTAGACATGATTGGTGCAGCACAGGGATCTAAGCCGTTCTGCGTTACAGCTCTGGCGCCTCAATGAGGTCATTGAGTCTGAGCCAAGCTCGTTGTGTGATGTCTTTGATTCTTGGGCAATCTTGGAGGGACCCGCTTGGACTGGACTGTGTGTGATCATGATCTTTTTTTGGTGTGCCCTCCCTTTTTGACTTTTTGTGTTTACTCTTGACTTCTTCATCATCAGAATCGATTGAATTATCAATCGTGGTTGAATCAATCATCGAGCGCGGTTGATTTTTCGTATCGCGATTCGGTACTTGGTATCCCTGCGCTGATCACGACTCCATCGCGATATCCTCCATTAGATCACGGCGACAATCAATTCGTCCAAGCTCATCGCAAACTCATCAAGACATCTCCATCAGAAGCAGCGACAATGGGCGAAGCCGACAATTACTACAATCCGAACCAACAGCCGCCGTACGGCTACTCCAACGGCGGCGGCTATCAACAACAATACCAACCTCAACCTCCCCCCGCGACACACCAGCAACAATATCAACAGCCTCCTCCCCAGCAGCCCTACCAACAAGCTGCCCCTCAGAATGGCAACGGCTACATGCCCGCCCAAGGCTACGGCGGCAACGAGAAGGCCTCGTTCGAAGAGCAGTTCAAGATTCCCAAGCCAAAGTGGAACGATCTCTGGGCTGGCATCCTCTTCATCCTATTCATGGCCGGCTACGTCGTCGTTTCTGGCATTGCGCTTCAGGGATACGCTGCTAATAAGGGCAACGCTGGATCGGGGATTTACGGCAACAGGAATGACTTTTCGCTGAACACCAGCACCGTTATCTTGTTCATGTTTGTGCTCGCTGTTGCGTTTGTCCTCTCGTATGCGTACGTTTGGATGGCGCGGTTGTTTCCGAAGCAGTTCATCTGGGTCACTGGCATTCTCAATGTCTGCTGGGCGCTTGGAACTGCTATCTTTTACCTCTGGCGCAGGTACTGGTCCGCTGGAATTGTGTTCCTCATATTTGGACTTTTCATGGCCTTCTGTTTCTGGACATGGATTTCGCGAATCCCCTTCTCGGCGCTGATGCTTCGAACTACCATCGACGTTAGCAAGAAGTATGGCCATGTCTACCTCACCAGTCTAATTGGAGGCATCATCGCCACGGCCATGTCTGCTTGGTTCTCGATCACTCTTGTCGCAATCTACATCAAGTACCAGCCTGCGAACGATAACCCCTCTTGCTCTGATGGCGGCTGCGGTAAAGGCAAGGTCATCGGTCTCATCGTCTTCATCACGTTTACCATGTACTGGTTCTCCGAGTGGCTCAAGAACACCATCCACACCACGATTGCCGGCGTCTACGGCTCTTGGTACTTCAACCCCCACAACTTCCCCAAGGACGCCACTCGCGCTTCAGCCAAGAGAGCCTTGACGTACAGCTTCGGTTCAATCGCTTTGGGTAGCTTGTTGGTCGCCATTATCCAGTTCGTCCGTCAGATCTGCACCGCTGCTCGTAACCAGGAGGCTGCGGATGGCAGTATGTTGGGATACGCTCTGTTCTGTTGCATTGGCTGCCTTCTTGGTATTTTGGAGTGGGCTGTTGAGTTCATCAACAGATATGCTTTCTGCCACATTGCGCTTTACGGCAAGGCTTACTTTGCGGCTGCCAAGGATACATGGAAGATGATCAAGGACCGCGGAATTGACGCTCTGATCAATGTAAGTATTATGGCCTTTGTCTTAAAGTGCACCGCTAACCTATCTAGGACTGCCTCATCGGACCCGTCCTTTCGTTCGGCGCCCTCTTCATCGCATACGCTTGCGGTCTCCTGGCCTACCTGTACCTCTACTTCACCGACCCCCCTTACAACAGCGACGGTCAATACACAGCAGTCGTCATGGCGTTCTCATTCCTTATTGGCTTCCAAATCGCCAACATCTTCACCACCCCGATTTCGAGCGGTGTCGAGACAATCTTTGTTGCTGCCGGTTGGGATCCTCAGGTCATGTGGCGCGACCACCCCGAGCTTTACCAGGAGATGTGTAGAGTGTACCCCAAGGTTCAGCAGGTCATTCACGACCGGTAAGCTGGCCACGCTTCTTGAGATCATCATAACTTTGCCTCAAGTAAGCCAAAGCGGCCTAATGCTTTAGCTGAAATGGCGAAGACATTTGATGAATGATAACATGAAAAGCATAAGCTTGGGCCTCAGGACTGGGGAGCCCTCGCGATTGACTGATTGGCTGGCTGATTGTCTTGAATGATACCATAGAAGGATACTGGAGGATTCATTGTGTGTAGTGCACGATGGAAATTGTGTTTTGTTTCATGCCACTGTTTTGCACCAAGGAGAAGAATATTTGATGCTACGGAATAATAAATAATTACTCTTTCTTTACCTTGAATGCTGCCACTGGTTCTTTAAATCGACAGGCGATATTGATTGAGCGGCAGCAATCTGCAAGGGCATAGCTAAGGTGTAAACCGATCATCACGCAGACTTGAGCTACCCGTTGTGAGGGGCTAAAATTGCAGTGAAGGTAAGTGAGATTCAGACAAAGGCTAACCACCAATTATGCTGCGCTCTCTCGCTCGAGCATGGATACAAGGTCCTTTTGAATCTCACATCAAACAACCAACAATAAAATGCCAAGAATAGACCATCAAGCATAGAGCCTATCGGACCTGCGCCCGTAACTCAGTCAGTTCATGCAGGCCCTCGCGGGAAGATCTCCCGGATCTTATTTCCCTATCACGATCCTGGCTAGGTCCAGGCCGAAGCGTTAGTATTACACAACTCGATCGCCAAACAATTTGTCAGGTAAACTGTGGTGAGACGACGGGGGGAGGGAAGCGAGATTGTCGAATGATGGGGATAACGCGGAGGGAAGAGACGGGTATCCAGTGGTGGAATGTTTTGTCATCCGAGTGGATGTTGCCAATGGCCAACTATACTGTGTTTTGGGGGTTAGAATATCTCGAGCCGTTATGTGAACTGGGGATTGAGGGTTGATATCCGATTGAAGCATCACAACCACTCCCATCACATCGGAACGCCTCATGACTCAACTGACAGTCTCGGCCCGTAAACGGTGATGGCATCTTGCGGAGACAGTACATAATGAAAACACCCAAAGCCCAGGTTCTCCTCAATCCCCGTTTGACGCCACGAATGCTTATTTCGTGCATCACGTAACCGTATCAAAATCACTCGGCTAGATCCATTATTTCGTCTCCAGTATCAGTGAGTCTAGCAGGCTTTATCGACGGTCGGTGCTCTCCGATAATGGAGAGTGATTCACATACGGATACTAACAAACAGTCACGTCGGAGATGCGAGGTTGTCGTCGGCAGAAAGAGCCGCATATCCTTGTACGAAATGGCCCGATAGTTTAAAAGCTGACCAGCTGCAAGAGAGCATGGGAGGGTTGCCTTGTCAGACCACGAGCTGCTGCATGTTACCTTAACTTAAGCCACCCGATCCAAAGCTTCGATTTGTTCCATGCAGAATGTCAAGCCACCTGAAATTTTCTCTTTTTTCCTGGCTTCAAGCGCGCTCATTGGCTACTGTGCGTGGTTTTGCAGCGGACAGCCCGTGGCAAGGATTTTTCCATCAGTGGCGCGTGTGAGAAAAATTGTGAACCCCTGGCCCTTGAGAACTTTTCACTGAGAAGCTAGAATGCTTTTAGCGTGGCGGCTCGGGAAACCTAACTCAATCGGTAACGAGCCGGAAACTACAGAATTACAAAACATCTCGCGATATTTCACACTCAACGTGATTAACCCAGTAACACGGAGGGCTCCTGTACTGTTTGTGTATGTAAAATATGATGTGTATTATGTAGTTGTTGTGTATAGTGTGATTCATTCGGAATAGGAAGCTGGGGAAATCGGGTAATTGGAACAAGTGTTGTGCTGTGGTGATCACTGAGATCGCTCATACCGAGAGGCAAATACTCGAGAGAAAATCTCGCTGGATGTAGATGGATTACATCCACTCACACAGACCAATTCTTACAGCACCAAGCAAGACCAAGGTTTCTGGTCTGGTCTGGTCTGGTCCGATATCGAAAATTTTCGTAATGGGCCCATTCATTCCCGATTGATATACCCATCCCCGTTGACATTTCATTTTTTTACATAACAGAGTCATTGCCAGCCCACTTGGTCTCGGTCTCTCTCTACTCATCTCATCTTACCACTCGGGCTCGTCTCTTCTCCCTTCTTTCAAGCGAGTCATCCTGTCTTCTCCTCGTTAACTGTGTGTGTTGCATTATCGACAACTTCATTACAAGACAGTGATACAGCCATCATGCTCATGGATTCTTCCTCAGCGGACGAAAAGTCCCCTCGTGTTAGCAACGAGAAGAAAACCCCCTCCAAGGAAGATGTCGAGACCGGCGAGGCTGGCCTCGACAGGGCCATGAGCTCGCGTCACCTGCAGTTCATCGCCATCGGCGGCACCATTGGAACAGGTCTCTTCCTCGGTGTAGGCCCTGCCCTCGTCAAGGCTGGCCCCGTGTCGCTCCTCGTCGCATTCGCCTTCATGGGCTCCGTCGTCTACTCCGTCATGGTCAGCCTGGGCGAGATGGCTGCCTACATCCCCATCACTGGCTCCTTCACCTCGTACGCCGCTCGCTTCGTCGATCCCACGCTGGGCTTCGCCATGGGCTGGCTGTACTGGTTTAGCTGGTCTATCACTTTTGCGCTGGAGCTCGTCGCCGCGGGAATTATTATCCAGTATTGGGATTCGGATCTTAGCATCGCTATCTGGATTAGTGTTTTCTGGGCCTTGTTTACTGCGTTGAACTTTGTCCCCGTGAGGATCTTTGGAGAGATTGAGATGTGGTTCTCCATGATCAAGGTTGTTACTATCATTGGCTTCATCATCTTCTCCATCTGTGTAAACGCTGGTGTTGGCGAGGAGGGCTACATTGGTTTCAAGTACTGGAAGGATCCCGGCGTCACAAACACCTACATGGACATTGACGGCGCCACCGGCCGCTTCGTCGGTTTCTGGGCTGTCCTCGTCACTGCTGGTTTCTCCTACCAGGGCACTGAGCTGGTCGGTGTCGGCGCCGGTGAGACTGCCAACCCCCGCAAGGCCATTCCCCAGGCTATCCGCTGGACTTTCTGGGGAATCTTCAGCTTGTTCATGGCGACCGTTTTCTTTGTCGGAATCAATGTCCCCTTCAACGACCCCCGACTTGACTCTGGTGCACAGGATGCTTCTGCTTCACCTCTCGTGGTCGTCGCCACTCGCGCTGGTGTCAAGGTTCTTCCTGACATCATCAACGCCGTTCTCCTCTCTGCCATTCTCACAGCTGCCAACTCAAACGTCTACTCTAGTAGCCGTATCATGGTCGCGCTTGCTGAGGATGGTCTTGCGCCCGCTTTCATGAAGCGTACCAACAAGTATGGAACTCCCTACTTTGCCGTGGCTTCATGCTCCGTCATGGGTCTTATCGCCTACATCAACCTTTCGTCCAGCGGAGCCGAGGTGTTCAACTGGCTTCTCAACGTCAGTTCCACCTCGTGCTTCATCACCTGGGTCCTGATCAACGTCTGCCACATCCGCTTCCAGAAGATCATGCGTGTGCAGGGAATTCCCCGCTCTGAGCTTCCCTACCTCGCTCCTCTCCAGCCTTACCTCTCCTACTACGGTGCTTTCTTCGTGGGCTTGATCACCATCACTTGTGGTTTCACCGCCTTCATCGATTGGAGCGTAGCCGATTTCTTCTCCAACTATATCAGCTTGATGCTTTTCGCCGCGTTGTATGTTGGCCACAAGCTCATCTGCCGAACCAAGGTTGTTCCTCTGGCTGAGGTCGATCTGAGCAAGGGACGAGAGGAAATGTAAACGAGTTTCGATTCGGAGTTTTGGGTGTTGGAAAAGTAGCAAAAGTTTTGTGTCCTTTTTTGGCGTATAGCAGTTAATAGTTGTAATGAGAGATATGATACCCTGAATACTCGAGTCTCGTCTGTGAAATCGAATGTATAGCACTGTAGTATCGATGATCTGAAGTCAGGGGAAGGATAATAGGATAAAACGGACATCAAAGGTCAGGGGGGGCATCGATGGCTTTATTGTCGAAGCATGAATTTATTTTACGTCAAGCGGTGGCATGAGACCACGGAGTGGCACTCTTTTTTCGGTAAAAGCATCAAATTATTTGGTAATTTTTTATTAGCAGCATGTCAAGACATGGCAAAGGGCGTTGCGTGTTGACACGATGGGACCCAGTTGACAATGACAAGACATGGTAAAGGGCGTTGTCAAGGCGGGTCCCTCTATCTTATCGTTTGACAAGCTTTGGTGGGACCGGATAAAGTGATGGAGAAAATCATGCTATTTTATTTATAGGATGTATTAAATGGAATTCCGTTTGTTATGGTTATTTATTAACGGTTCAATCGTGGTGTCGCCGTTTTTCTGTGGTCTCGTGGCTGAAGTTTCAGATTGCTGATCTTGAACACTGAGATAGCCAACCAGATGATGAAGAAAATCTTGACCTACGCCTATTGTAGTGGAGGAAAGAAAACAAGAGAATAAATGATTTAGGTAATTTTACTTAAATTTAGACCAAGTTTAGCATACCTTTTGCCCAGATTTCATTTAATATCCCATCTTGAGGCTGATGTTCTCTTGCTCCCCGAGCCCATTCAACGCTCATTCTACCTCAAAGAGCCTTAACTACTTGTACTGTCCACTGCTCAATCTTGGTTCATATCTTGATTTTGCCTGGGAATCGCGCACACTGAACAGCATTCCTATGGGTCTTGATCGATCCGCTCCGGCGACGATTTTATCTCCCCGAGGACAAACCATTGACTGCAGATCAAATGCTGTGCGGTTCAGCGGATGCGATTGGCTTGGCGGCTCTAGGCGAGCAAAGTTGCTGACGTTCTTCGTGCCAAGCCTCGCCTTAAGCTTCTTTTGATGTTGCGCATCCAAGATGGAGATGGAGATGGAGATGGAGGCCACCCCACGCTACAACCCACCTCTCCAGTCGTCGTTCAGCTTTTCTATCGATTACCTCAATATCAAGAATACGACTAATAACTGTTCTTCTTGAAGAAACTCGTAGCAGTGAGCGCATGTCTTACGCGTCCGATTCACCGCCAAACCTCAAACTCTCTCATCATTTGACTCTTCCAGGGCAAGAAAATCCAAGTTGCATCCCGTGCCTCAAACAAGCTCATCCCAAACACCCTGATTCGCTGGTCCTCCAAGAAAATAGACTCCCCGAGCGTCATGCACGAGTATGAAAGCGGTAATGCTCGACAAATAGTGGCGATGGTCCGACCCCTCTGCTTCGGGTCGTCGGCGCCAATCAGGGCTGCGCACGACGGGGAGAATCGCGATGTGACAGGCTTCTGAGGGTAAAGTACTCCGGTTCTTGGGGGTCTGGAGTTGGAAAAGTTGGCAAGAGGAGGGTGGTGACACGTTGGCAGCTCGGTCAGATAATAGGACAAGAGGCGATATTGGTGATAGGTGACGATATCAGTGGAGGGAAAACGGGGAGAACAGTTCTGCCCTGCGAGATCCGAACCGTCAACGTGCTAATTTGGTGCGTCTCGTGTGACGAGTAGCTTGAATAGTACGAACTCTCGAATAATCCCGCAGTTGATATGCGTGTGACTTGCTTCTGGAGAAAAAAGATCCAGGTCGAGGTGCTGGGATTAACACATTGTGCATAACCATGCTGCACTGACATGAAGTATCACGCATGACTACAGACTGTTCACCCCATTTCTTCAGCAATATTTTATCAAATCGAGTCCGTAACGGAAATATAAACTCTGTACCAATTGGCCAAGTTGATGTTGAACATACCTTCTAGTGATGGGAGAGAAACGAATTGAAGATTACCCTGTAACGTCGCTAGGGGAGTTCCGATTGGCGCTACAACATAGAAGCAGGGGTGCTGTGAAGAATGTTTCTAGCACGTGAAAGTGGCCCAAATGTTTGGTTTCGTTGAGAAGTCCCCTGTTTCTCCCCTACAGGGGATAAAACCGCTTAAACATTATGTTTCAGCGATTGAACATCGCAATATCAACAGGACCATGAATTGAAAGAGAATACGAGAGAACCAAAGACATGCTTCTACCCCCTCCATCGATACCTTCTCCAGGACACGATGGAGTCCCCCCTCCCCCTCCAGGTCCCAAAATTGGCGGGCAGCTAGGCCTGAAATGTCTTTAGGGCAGTCCAATCATGGCCTACGTGGGGGGGCATGTCAATTGGCACCCGCCCTGACATTCAGCGATTGAGGCGCTGGTACTACGCATTGTGAATAAAATGTCAACTACTCCTTGCTTCCAAGTGGCTTCTTTTTTAAAAACCTAGCGACTTGGTGATACTTCTGTATCTTTATTCTTTATTCTTATCTTCAATTGACCTTGACCGGTGTTGTAGCACGACAGCTGGGTGTTATCTTTGCTGGTCTTTTTCAACCCCACAAACACTGGGATATGGCAGCTTGAAAAGTGTCGACTGTTACAAGAGTGAGAGTAAGAGATAGGAATGACACCTCGCTTGGGGATCACAGACTAACATTACCGAGCCCCCAGAAAAGGATATCATCTACTCCGTACTATACGAACTGTAGTGTACGTACGTGGGCGGCCAATTGTTGGGGATAGACAGACAGACATTACCGGACCCGTCACCGACATCTCTTTTAGCCCAGTGGTCGCGTGACCCACCCACCGCTTCATCTCATCTCTACCTCCAGCACAACTACCTACCTACCTCATTCTCTCCCTCCTCCCATTCACAATTTCACACAAATCCCGCCTGGCATCATGTCAATTATCGATGTCAACAAGGATCTCGCTGCTCTCTTCGAGCAGCAGGCCCAAGCTACTCCAGACGCAGTGGCCCTCGAAGATGAGAAGAGATCCCTCACATACGCAGAGCTCGACAGAGAAACATGGGCCCTAGCCGAGCGATTGCGTGACTACGGTGTTGGCCGCGATGATCTCGTCGGTGTCCTCATGGGCAGGAGCGCAGACTACGTTATCGCCGCTCTCGCTGCCCTCAGAGCAGGAGGTGCGTTCCTGGTACTTGAGGTTGCGTACCCTGCTGGCCTCTTGCGAGATGTCATCGAGGATGCGAAGCCAACTGTCATCCTCACCCAGTCTGAGTACTCGGGCAACCTCACCTCTGAAACCCCGGTTATTGTTGTCGATAGTCCCGACAAGTTGGCCAGGGGAGAGATCTCGCCTCATCTGGATGAGAGGAGATCGCTGCCAGAGGATGATGATGTGGAGCGTTTGCTGTTTGTGTCGTACTCTTCTGGTACGACAGGAAAGCCCAAGGGTATTATGAATCCCCACAGGGCGGCAGTTCGCTCCTACGATCTGAGATTTGCTGTTAGTGATCTCAAGCCCGGTGATAGGGTGGCATGTAATGTGTTCTTTATCTGGGAGATGCTTCGACCTCTGATTCGAGGTGCTACAACTGTCGCTATTCCCGACCACGCCAGCTACGACCCACTTGCTCTCGTCGAGCTTCTCTCACAATGGCGAATTACCGATACCCTCATGACTCCTACACTTTTGGCGACAGTTCTGTCTCGGCATCCTAAGCTGGGAGAGCGATTGCCTCATCTTCGCTCGCTATGGTTGAACGGTGAGGTGGTCACTACAGACCTGGTGCGCCGTGCGATGGATGCTCTCCCTGACAGTCGTCTTCTCAACGTCTACAGTGCTTGCGAGACCCACGAGACTGCTGTTGGAGACATCAGAACCTTTGTCGACTTTGACACACGAGTGTGTCCTGTTGGTCCTCCAACGGACCCTGAGCACACCTATGTTCTGGACGAGGCTGGCAACAGAGTCAACCAAGGTGATAGCGGCGAGCTCTATGTTGGCGGTAAGCTTTTAGCACGAGGATACCTCAACCTGCCTGAAACAACAGCCAAGGCATTCCAACCCGATCCTTTCGCTGGAGATAAGGACGCGCGAATGTACCGAACTGGCGATCTGGCTCGCATTCTTCCTAATGGCCTTTTGGAGATTACCGGCCGAGTCGGCGGCATGATTAAGACTCGTGGCTACACTGTCCAGCCCGGAGCCGTCGAGAGCGCCATTCGAAAGCACCTCGCCGTTCGTGACTGTGCAGTCGTAGCTCACGGTGAAGGTCTGGAGAGACAGATTGTTGCTTACATCGTACGTGAGAAGGGTGAGACTAGAGATCGAACCATTCCTCTCGTTGATGAATATGGCTACAGCCCCGTCGCCCGACGTGCCCTCACCGACCATCTCGCCCACTACATGATTCCCTCAGTTTGGGTTGAGCTAGAAGAGCTCCCTACACATGGCGTTTCTGGAAAGGTCGATCTCAAGGCTCTGCCTGCACCACCATCTCCAAGATCACCGAGACCTGTTGAGAAAAAGAAGAAGGAACATAATATCAAGGTCAAGACCGAGACTGTCATTCAGTTATGGGCTGCGTCGCTTAACATGCCCGCCAGCGTCATCACACCGAAGCACGACTTTTTCGACCTGGGTGGTCACTCGCTCGCTCTCGCTGACCTTGCTGGCCGACTTACCAAGACTTTTGGCTTTCCTGTACCTCTGGCTCCTCTTGCTGGAACACCGACTCTCGAGGGACATGTTTCAGCTATCAAGGCTGCTCGTGATGGCCACACTGCTGCGGTACAGGCTGATCTCCCCGCTGTTCTTCGCGCAGACTCCATACTCCCTGAAGATATTCAGGGTAATGGCACTCCTATGCGTGCGCTCAGAGATGCTGAGACTATTCTCCTCACTGGTGTTACTGGGTACCTTGGTGCTTTCCTCCTCAAGAACTTGGTCGATTCTACAGATGCGCAGATCATTTGTCTCGTGCGA